CCTCCGCTCAGCCACTGCCCTTTTCTGGACCCACTTGGGTTACAATTAAACCTTATCTCCTTCACAGGCACCACCATCGCATATAACCTCTATTTCGAGGGCAAAACGAGACCTGATGATACCTTTCCCGAAGCTGTGCACAAGTGGGAACCCTTCCTAGCTTAATCTTTTATCACATAACAAATACACAAATAGACATACACATATGCGAAGAAAAGCTGGAATCTATTGTTTCATTATTGTTGAGCTTACTTCAATTTCGATTGAAAATGTTTGATAAAGAGATTCGAAGGTCGAAGTCTCCAAAACCTACTCACTTATGAAAATTGTAATGCGATCGATTGCTGTAGCGCACATATAAGTTTGCTTCATCAAAAATCCCAACGCAGAATGTGTTATTGAAAATGCCTGACATTCGTTGGAATTCACATCTGCCCGGTGGCCCAAGGGCAGTCGTGGCAATGTGGCGTAGTGATTAACTTTTCGAGCTTACACGCTGCGCTGTCATGGTTCGACTCATGCTTGGGGTGTTGATAGGACCTATGCGAAGTCGAAGCTGCAATCCACTTCAGCCTGGATGAAAACACCTTTAGGTAAGGCAATTCTATGTGAAATTCAGTAAAAAACATCAGCTGTACTCATTTAATTGTGGGAAAACTCAACTACCAGTCCTTCATCACCTTAGACGAAATAGGGTGAACGAAACTTATATAAGATGTGAAGACCAAGATGTTGTGGCCTCGGGTATGGTTGCAGTCTCCTTTCGACTTATAGAAGTGGGTTGACCTCGCTGTCGCAACTTGGTCTTGTGAATGTATCAAGTCCACGGTCGGATGCAGGAAATCATGACAACTACTATTGCAGACGACTTCGGACTCGGTAACTTATATACTTGATTCACTGGTAGTCTCTAAAACCTACTCACCTCCCAAAAGGTAGCCTGAAATGGACTAAGCTGGTTGTCTCAACACCCCTGGCATGTAGGGGTGCAGTGTGTTGCCTCGACACATTGCCATAAATGCCCATGGGTCAGAGAGTTAAAATGTATTTCAACAAAGGCTAGGCCTTTCCCACACCCCATTTCAGTAGCGGTAGTGTCGACGATGTAAAGGTGTATTCGCTATACCAATTGGCTGCGTTACTCATTTTGCGTTGCTGAGTAGTTTTCGAGACTCCCAGACGAGCTGATACGAAAAGTGTATTCAGCCTTCTCGGTTTTTCTGTGGAACTCCAACTGCCGCTCAGCATCACCCCACACGAAATAGCCTCGAGACAGCAGATTGAACGGTTCTTTGTTCGAGAAAAGTTGGCTCAGCTCCGATCAGCTGAGGATCTGATCTGAAGGCAAGTCCATGCCAATCACCTGACATCGACAGGAGCGCCTTTACTCGACATGATCAGAAGAGGAGAAGATTATAACAGTCGGTTTGTCGCTCCTCCCAGTCTGGCATCACACTCGCCTGGGACCATAAAAACTTCGGACTCATGGGGACTCAAACTGTTGCCGAGATCAGAGGACTTCACACAAAGGGTCGAATCGTAGCCACAGCGATTACAGCAAATAGGCTCTGCTTCATAAGACTGGGCTTCAGGTGGTGAATGTTGCCGATCTCTCCTAGCCTCTCTCTCTTTCTCCAAGACCAAACCGGCCAAGCAAACCGTATCCTCTCCATACGGCTCACGCCAGACTGAAAAGGAGGCAGATCAAACGCCACTCACCTCGTCCCCCTCAGTCCAGACGACACGAAGCGACCGCATTCTTGGCCAAAAAACCAACCAGTAAAGCAGACTTTCCTGCCTTGCGTGTGTCTGGGCCGTTGAGGAGAGGGCAATTCTATTACATGTTGGGGCAAGGAGGTGGAGACTGGGCGCTGCCGGTTTTGCGTATCAATCTTGTCGTCGATGGGACAATCCAAGTGCTCAGTCGAGACGTCCGGAGAGCATTAATCATGTAGAATTCTGATATTGTCAAAACTGGCAGATCTAGCAACGAGGCAGAGGATTGCGGACCTTGTATGTGCGTGCGTGCGTGTCTGTAGGGCTGGTCTGTCCGTCCGGCCTGGACAGCTTGCGCCACTCGTCGCTCGGCGGATCCGGCGGAGGACCCGGACACAACACGGCCTGATACCCTCAGTGTTAAGGGGTAGGGCGGGTTGATGCCGCCTGAAATGCCTCTGAAAATTGGCCAATTCCACTCGGTCCCCCCCTCTTTCGGCAGAGTTGAGTCCGTTCGGACGGTCGTCCATTCTTCACTCATCTCCGCGGAGAATGTGCTCAGCCGGTAATGCCAATTCGGACGCCTCCAGACCCATTTCCCTCGGGCACATAAGCCGAGTGGCCCGATGACAATGAGACCTGCCAAACCTTGAACTGACGTGTCCGGCCTGGCCAATCGTCGGGGGCCCCAGAGCAGCGGCTTTTGTCTCGCCGATGGGAGCGAGTGGCACGGTCGCCACTCTGACGCCGTTTTTAAGAGCGGAGACGGATCGTGATGGATGCTGCTCCAGAGTTGGTGAGTCCTTTAAACGAGTGCGAGAAGACTAGACTTGCGTGACATGTTGACAAGGCATGGGACGAACGAGTTGTCGCCACAGAAACTGAAGAATGTTGCCTCAGGGACGCAGGCGGTCCAGTCAGATACACAATCTCTGGCATGGTGCAACTTGAAGAAAAAACTTGACTGTGGCGGACAAAAAAGGAGGGTTTAGCCTCTCGTCTACACCCAAAAGGACATTTCACCCACCAGAAAATGGTGCTTTCAGTTCGTTAAATAGTATTGGTCCTTTCCTTAAAATCTCGTTCAAGGGTGTCTGACAAACTGGTACAGCCAGCTTGCAAATGCCCAGGACAGATCAGAATGAAATTTGGCGAAAATAAAGCAGTAGCTATGGCGATCAGGGTGGTGTGGCCTTCTGTTTGGTCGTAGTCTCCTTGAGCCTTATAGTGTTGATTCGACCTCGTTTTCACAACTTGGTCGGAGAGTCAGGGAGACCTTGCCGAACCTACCTAATCCTGTGTCCTCTGCCCTCGAGTATTCGCGATTTCCAGCTTCGAAATATTGGCATGGTACACTACCAGACGCTTCACTGGCATCGTAGTTGGCATCGCCATTGAGGGGTGCCGTCGTTAGGGCAGAGTTACAACTTATCAAAGTGACAAGTCAAGAAAGTGAAGTAGATTAACTGAACTAACT